TCAACCTTGACAATTTTAAGGCATGTGGACTTCAACTCCCAGAATTCCACAGTCAGCAATGCTGGCTGTGGAATTCTGGGAGTTGAAGTCCACATGCCTTAAAATTGTCAAGGTTGAGAAACACTGGCTTAGAGAGTCCTGCAGTACATGGAGGTAGTATTCTGAATCAAGCAGTAGCCAAGCAGATGCTGGAGGGTGTAGATCAGGTATCAGATAATTAGATATCTCCTATCCCAGGATGATTTATTGTGGAAGTAAAATATTTACAACTCAGAAATGGATGTAGGCTCTAAGTGTTCATAGTGAAACGGCTAATTGCCCATGTTGTAGCGGATTTCAGTTTTGTATTCAGCAAGTATCAGTGCCAGAATATGGCAGAAGCTGAACCTGGGCCCTTTTGTATACAAAGTCTGTGCTTCACAGGACAGAATGGATAGTAACACGGCTACACCAGAAAAAAAAAAGAAGCTTCTGTTTTTGAAGGTTAAAGAAAAGAAGATAGAAAAGGCTATCTTATATATATATTTGGGGGGGGGGAGTAGAACTACCTACCTGCCATCACTGGCTGAACCTCATTTTAGCTAGAGGTTTAAATAATAATAATAATAATAATAATAATAATAATAATAATAATAAGTATTCACAGAAACAGAATTGGACGAACTACAAAGGTTTACCCAGGGCAAAGAAATCAAAGCCTTACCAGAAGTAATTCAGAATGTAGAGGCAAACCAGGGGGAGTTGGCAGTGAAGGAATCCAGCAGAGATATACAACTGTTCTCATTTGGAAACCAGGCACCTCTTCCTCAGGAAGAACAAAACCCTCTAACTAAAGAAATAAAAGAATTGAAACAAAGAATAACTGAGCATCTAGAACAGCACAAAAACAACAGAATAAGGCTACCTGCATTGAAGCTTGTTCCAAAGAAACAGCTAGCACAAGCATTAAAAGATGCAAATACTGCAATATCAAGTATAAGCACCAATTCACTGCAAGAAACAAACCAACTAATGTACAACACAGCTGCAGTTATAACAGAATACCTGGGATGCAAAATCAACAAAGAAGAAAAACAAACAAACAGTGCACCAGAAAAATGGAAGGTTAGACTAGAAAATAAGATCAGCAAGTTAAGATCACATGCAAGCAAGCTAGAACAGATGAAAGAAAAGAAGCTGAAGAACAAGAAGACCAAAGAATACCTAATCAAGAAATACCACTTAGAAACAAGGAAGATCAAGGAAGCACTGGAAATAATAAAGCAACAAATAACAGCTATAGCCAGGAAAATCAGTAGATATGAAGCTCGAATTGCAAACTATAGGCAGAACCTCCAATTTCAATCCAATCAGAAACGTTTCTACCAATCCATCAATGGAGAAACTGCAAGGAATCAGTCAGTACCTGACAAGGAAGAAACAGTGCAGTTCTGGAAGCAGATATGGGATAACCCAAAGAAATACAACAAGGATGCGGCTTGGTTAAAAGAGGTGGGTGCAAATAAAACAGAAGTTGAAATGAAAGAACTAGTAATAACAACAAAAATGGTAGAAAAAAGAGCAAAGAAAATCAAAAATTGGTCAGCACCAGGTGAAGATGAACTGTATGGGTTTTGGTTGAAACATCTAACTGTTATACACCCACTCATTGCCAAACAGTTCAACAATATACTACAAGGAGGAGAAATTGAAAAGTGGCTAACAACTGGGAAAACCTACCTAATAATGAAAAATCCAGCAAAAGGGGCAACACCAGGTAACTACAGGCCAATTACCTGCTTACCAACAACTTTCAAATTACTAACTGGTGTGGTAGCTGATGCAGTACAACAGCATCTAGTTGAAAACAATCTCTTTCCACCTGAGCAGAAAGGAAACCGCCCCAATAGCAGAGGAACAAAAGATCAACTCCTAATAGACAAAATGATCTTGGAAAACTGCAAGAGAAGGAAGACCAACCTGAATGTGGCATGGATTGACTACAAAAAGGCATTTGACTCTCTGCCACATGATTGGATAATAAAGTGCCTAGAAATAATAGGAGTCAGTAGAAACATCAGAAAATTTGTGCAAAGATCGATGGCACAATGGAAGACACAGTTGCAGATCAATGGTGAGAGGCTGGGAGAGGTTAATATCAAGAGAGGAATATTTCAAGGAGATTCATTATCACCATTACTATTTGTTATTGCACTGTTTCCTCTGTCAACAATACTGAATAACTCAGGACATGGCTATCAAACATCAAAAACATCTGCCAGACTATCCCACCTCCTTTATATGGATGATCTGAAGCTGTATGGAAAAAATATCATCTGAAATAGAATCGCTGCTCAACACTGTCCGTATATATAGCCAAGATATTGTAATGGAGTTTGGCTTGGACAAATGTGCCACACTTACTATCAAACAAGGAAAAATAATGAAAACTGAAGGAATCAAGATGCCCCACGAAAATAACATTAAGAGTCTGGATGAGGAAGAGTACTACAAATACTTGGGTATCCTTCAAGTTGACAACATCAAGCACACTGAAGTCAAGAAAAAGATTAGAGGTGAATACATCAAGAGAGTGAAGAAGATCTTAAAGTCCAAACTCAATGGAGGAAATACCATAAAGGCAATCAACACCTGGGCAATCCCAGTCATTAGGTACACAGCTGGAATAGTGGACTGGACTCAAGCAGAACTAAAAGCAATGGATAGGCAGACCAGAAAAATAATGACAATGAATCATGCCCTTCATCCACGCAGTGACATTGATAGACTTTATCTACCAAGGCAAATAGGTGGGCGTGGAATGCTACAAGTACATCAGATGGTTGAAGAAGAAAAAATGGCTTTGGAAGAATATCTGAAGAACAATGATGAAGATGCACTGAAATTAGTATATCAGGAAGGCTTACTAACTACTGGAGAGACCAAACTGGCCTACAAGAAAGACCAAATGAAGAACAGAATAGAGGCATGGGAAGACAAAGCACTACATGGCCAATACATGAAAAAAATAGCTGGGAAAGCAGATAATAATAAAACCTGGCAATGGCTAAGAGCAGGAAAATTGAAGAAAGAGACCGAGGGACTAATTCTGGCTGCACAAGACCAAGCCTTAAGGACAAATGCATACAAAGTCAAAATTGAGAAGACAGCAATAGACAGTAAGTGCCGCCTATGCAAAGAAGCTGAAGAAACAGTGGACCACTTGGTAAGCTGTTGCAAGAAGATTGCACAGACTGATTACAAGCAGCGGCATGACAAAGTAGCAACAATGGTGCATTGGAAGATCTGCAAAAAATATCATTTGCCTGTAAGCAAAAACTGGTGGGATCATAAAATAGAGAAAGTCATAGAAAATGATAAAATTAAACTGCTCTGGGACTTCAGAATTCAAACAGACAAGCACCTGCAACATAACACCCCAGACTTAACAATTGTCGATAAGAAAGACAAAAAAGTCTGGATAGTGGACGTGGCAGTGCCTGGAGACAGCAGAATAGAAGAGAAAGAACTGGAGAAGATAACAAAATACAAAGACCTACAAATAGAAATAGAAAGACTGTGGCAAAAGCAAGCAAGGGTAGTACCAATAGTCATAGGCTCCTTGGGTGCAATCCCAAAAGCACCCAAGGAGCACCACTTGAACACAATTGGCATTGACAAATTTGCTACTAGTCAATTGCAAAAGGCGGCCTTATTAGGAACTGCTTCCATCCTGCGACGATACCTGTAATACCATCAAACATCCACATCTGCCTATCCCAGGTCCTGGTAAGGACTCGATAGGTAGACAAAATGCCAAATCCAGTCTGAACATCTGGCTGACTGTGCGATGATCGATAATAATAATAAAGTTGGAAGGTACCTTGGAGATCATGTAGTCCAACCCCCTGCTCAGGCAGGAAACCCTATACCATTTCAAACAAATGGCTGTCCAATCTCTTCTTAAAAACTTCCAGTGTTGGAGCATTCAGCGCTTCTGGAGGCAGGTTGTTCCACTGGTTAATTGTTCTAACTGCCAGGAAGTTTCTCCTTAGTTCTAGGTTGCTTCTCTCCTTCGTTACTTTCCAGTTTAGCTATGTTAGTTTAGTTTAGCTATGGTTTCATCACGGTTTTCCTGATAATCCAATAAAGGTAGTTCTTGACTTACAACCTTTTGTTTAGTAACTGTTTGAAGTTAGAATGGCACTGAAAAAAATATTGTATGACCATTTTCCACACTTTTGTTGCAGCATCCCCACGATCAGATGATCAAAAGTTGGACTCTTGACAACTGGCATGTATTCACAATGGTTGCAGTGTCCCAGGGTCATTTGACCCTCTTTTGCAAATTTCTGATAAGCAAAGTCAATGGGGAAGCCAGATTCACTTAACAACCATGTTACTAGCTTAACTGCAGTGAATCACTTAATAACTGGGACAAGAAAGGTCATAAAATGAGACAAAACTCAACTGTCTTGCTTAGCAACAGAAATTTTGGGCTCAACTGTAGTTGAACTACCTGTATACATTATTTGTTATCCTAATCACCTCCCTGCCCATATATTGCTCCCATATATTTAATTTAATAAAACTAAAGTCTATTCATAGAAATATTCAGTAAAGAGATGACCTTCTTTGTGAAAGGCATCAGAATTGATACATATTGCAATGCATTTTCCCAAATCGATCATATCCAGTGGAATATTTTGAAATTAAATAATGATTATGCAATGCTATCTGTTGATTACTACTGAAAGCTGCTGTCTTCTTTATCAAGAAATTATAGAAATTCCTTTTCACACCCCACACTGCCAGGAAAAATGTTGGTCACTTAATAGTTTTAAAAGACTGTGTACTTTTCAGATGTCTGACAAAGTCCCCCATGGAGCCTCCATCATATTTTCTTAACCCTCTCTGTATTACTTTTGTCCCCATCTTGGAGATAACATAATTGTGGAAACATCTCAGCTATTCAGGTAGTCGTCATTATTGTTTCTATCAACAGCATGATCGGTATGTACCTTATAATATTCCCGGTGTTGGGTTGCAAAGGTCCTCTCTCTTCATCTGGCAGAGTCTAATTCCGTCATCTTCCCTGATGTCTAAAATTACACCAAGTAAAGGTTGCGATTTACGTGGGATACACTGAGCTTGCTAAAAAGACTCCCTTAGGTATAGAGGATGGTATTTTTTTCAAGGACATGACCAGGACAATACCAAGGCTACTGCCAAAGCAAAATAGAAACTCCTGGCATTCGTGGACGTGGAAAGGCAGGCCAGTTTTGTTTCTCAGTGTTTCTATAATGTATATTTTGTTCCATTAGATGGGCAATGCTTCCCTTGAATAATGTGAGCATACTCCAGAGCAGTTATAATCAGCTAAGCGCAAGCTTCTATTGCTTTACTTGTTGACAGTATATTTAATATCTAAAATTAGAAACTGAAGTCTGCCAGCAAGGCATACCCTGTAATGTAGCAATGGAAGTCTTATTCCTTCACCACAAACGTGTGGACCAAGCTGTGATTATCCAGTGGAGACTAAAGTGCCCTCTCCATATGCTCAGAGGACATCTTAAGCTATGGATGGGCAGCTTTGAGAGCTTGAAAACTAAATCCTGCTACTTTAGTATACTAACAACGCAGAGCCATTTGGCCATGGCATTAATTTATACTGTTCCTATTACAGTAGAAGAGAAGCTGCGCTAGGAACAAAGAACAACTTTGGGCAGTAAAATGGACTCTGCTCTAAAATCTCTCTCTAGAGTTGAGGTCTTTGCAACTGTTATTTAAAATACATGCAATATGTATTTTATTTGGCTTTTATTCTTCTTTTTTGGAATGTGCTATGGGATACAAGTAGTCCTTGACTTACAACCATTTGTTTAGCGACCATTCAGAGTTACAACTTGCAGTGAAAAAAAGTAACTTATGACTACTCCTTGCACTTATAATCATCACAGTATCCTCGTGATCATTGTGATGACAATTCAGATGCAACCGGCATGGATTTACAATGGTTATAGCATCTCAGGGTCATGCGATTACCATCTGCAACCTTCTTAACAGGCTTTTGATATGCAATAGTGGTGAATACAGTATCTATAGCACAGGTATAGGATGAGGATGAAGGTTCGTTCTCCGAGCTTGTGGGTTGGTTTCTGGACGTTTTGTTACCAGGCTAGATAACCTCTTCAGGGGAGTTTAGGGGATGTGAGTGTCTGTGTACTTCTGTTTATAAGGGCTTCAGTTGTGGGTGTGTCAAGTGAAGGTCTTGTGATGGGTCAAGGGTGAGTCATCATTGAGGGGCTTGTGATGTGTCTTGTGATATGGAGGTTACATCTGGTCAGGGTCATTGGGAGGTGAACTGCTGGGGGGAGAGGGGAGGCTTGCATGGGTTGGTTGAGGGTCAGGACTGTCCTTGGTTGGCTGCGCGGTTGATTTGGATTCTGAATGTTTGACCTACAACCAGCCTACGAACCCCTCAGAATCCAAATCAAGTGCACAGAGGCAGAACTGATCCTCAACCAACCCACGCAAGCCCTCCCTCTGCCCACCACCAGAAGTTCACCCCCCCAATGACCCTGACCGGATGTAACCTCCCCATCACGTCCCTCACTGATGACTTACCCCAGACCCATCACAAGACCCTCACTTGACACACCCACACCTGAAGCCCTTATAAACAGAAGTACATCAACACTGACACCCCCTAAACTCTGCTGAAGATGCTATCTAGCTTGGTAATGAAATGTTCAGAAACCAACCCACAAGCTCAGAGAATGAACCTTCATCCTCAGGCTTCTGATAAGTAAAGTCAGTGGAGGAAAACCGAATTTGCTTAAAGACTATATGATTCATTTAACAAGTGCAGTGATTCACTTAACAACCATCACAAAAAAAAGTCATGAAATTGGGCATGACTCACTTAATAGCCACCTTGTTTAGCAATGGAAAATCTAATCCCAGTTGTGGTCATACATCAAGGGCTCCCTTTAATTTGTAACACTTTGTAAAGACAAGTGAGGTTCATCCAAGAGAGTTATTTTACTTTCTGGCATATAGCTTCAATCATCCTCATGTTCAAAAGAGGGAAATTCAAAAAAAAATCAGAAGAAAGACTTACCAGCCAAGATCTGTGCAGAGCAAATGCAGAAGGGTCTTTTCCTTTATAAAAATTTTACCTGGGAAGGAATTAAGGTTTCCTCACAACTCAGGTGCAGCAGTCCCAATCTGGCTCAAGTCCCCATGAGCCTCATCTAAGGAAGATACAAATTGTCAGTTTACCTGTGACCTGCACAATGCTATACATTTTTAGAAGACCTGGAGAGAAACCATCAGTCAATGTGGGTAATGCAAGGCTGGAGAGGGCTAAAAGACTGATTCCTCATGATATTGGAGTTCAAAAAGCTACTGAACATTTTGCCAACAAAATGTAAACAGAGAATGGTGCAGGAGAAGATTCCTTTTCTCTTTAATGCTCCACTAAATGAGGTGCCACTATTCAAAGGAAGACCAACACCCTTGCACCTCTGTACTATAAACTCTCCGCCCTGATTCCACAGAAAAAGTCTCCCATATGTGCTCATTTACTGTTCCTGAAAGCATGCTCCAGAAATTTAGACATGTGCAAATCTGCTTGTAGGATACCAAATTCATTTGGAACCAAGTACTTCAACTTACTAAGTTCTGAGGGCATCGATTGTGTTCATATTTATTTGTAAGGCTGTATTCCTGCTATGGTAAGGCTCCTGCTTCAAACTAAAGCATTCATCCCATTTGTCAATGGATTGCCAGTTAGGCAAAAATAGTAGGTGATCTGAGAATAATAACCATCTCTCAGGGGAAAGTTCTGCCAACTCTGGCCTTAGCGCTATGCTACCCTATCCATTGAGAATGGAAAATAGTACAACAAATAGCTGACCTTGGGCTCAGAAGCTAAGCAGGGTCAGGCCTGGTTGGGACTTATAAAGACTGGGAAGTAAAGTAATGGCAGACCACTTCCATAATCTGATAAGAAAGCTTCACAGACATTCCCTGAAGTCAGTGGATGTTGAGATGTTAAATTTTATAATGTCATAATGGATAAAAAATAGTATGGGATGTTGAAAACAATGCCTGAAGCTGGGATAATTAAAGAGATATTTTTTTAGAGACAGCTATCCTATTGAAGTACACAATTATTAGCATAGTATAGTGCAAAGACTGTTTCATTGTACATTATTGGCCAATAAAATGACTGTGTATTGCTTCGTTTTATGTCCATCTCAGACAATATCCCTCAAATACAGAGCAAAGTGTTAGAACGTCAATTTGTCTTTGCAGACTTCTTCCTGTTTAACCCTTCCCTCACTGGAACCAGAATTTGTTTAGCTTGGACATCAATCAGTGGGAGATTAGAAGCATCATGTGCCTTCGCTGGAGCTTAGCCATTTGTCATCTTCTTCCAAAGACATTTAAGAAAGGACAGTTGGATCAAAGCAGTGACTTAGTATAGACATGGAAAATTCAAAACATCCATGGATTTAAATGCCTTTCAAATGATTGGGGAGAGTGTTGAGAGAGACTGCATAGATTTCTTTTTATAAAGTTATGCTCAGAGGAAAAGCAAATATCTTCCGAACAATAGTTTCTACATGCATTCATTGAGAAGAAGGACATTTCAGGAAGGTATGATAGAATGTTTCCTTGATAGCGAAGAGTTCTGTACATTTGTTGAAAAGTAAACAGTGCAGTCATTCTGTGTGTGCCACTGGAAAGTTGTGTTTGCAAAATTATGAGTTACCCAGTTCTCACCATGATTCAAGTGGTAGAATGTTCCTATGTGGATTGTTGTGAAACATACACAATACATATATTATTTGAAACACTGGTATTTCTACAGTATTAGCCATGGGTAATTTACACTCTAATGTTTAGACAACTTAGACCACTGACGATTTTAAAAGATAGCAAAGTTGTATCAGTATTAATAATGATTTAAAGTGTCAGTATTAATGAGCATAGGGTTACTTAGCTTTTTTTATTCAGAATTAACTACAATTAACTAAAAAAAAGCAGTTGAATGCATTAAAGTATTTGCTGTACAACAAAGATTTTTGTCTTAATCTGATTAGGTAGTAATAATGTCTCCACTGTACTTAATAAAGTGCCCCCAAATCTGAGCCATTTAAATAATACCATTTGGTGGCTTGGAGATTCTAATAGAGGTTGTTTTGTATTATAAGATACTGCAAGATTAATTTGCTACAAATCATCACTACAAATATTTATTTATTTAATAATAATTCAAACCTGTCCAAATTCTAATATATATTACTATTATTATGGTTGGTCGCACACAATCAGCCAGATCTTTAGACTGTATTTGGCATTTTGATCTGGGAACTGGGACAGACAGATGTTGTTTAATGGTATTAAAGATGTCACAGGATGTAAGTTGTTCCAAGTAACGCTACCTTTTGCAATTGATGGTGGCGATTTTGTCAATGCAGATGGTGTTCAAGTGGTGCTCCAGATGTTTTGGGAAAGCACCCAAGGTGCCTATTTTTATTCATACTATCTTTGCTTCCTTTTGCCACAGTTGTTCTACTTCTATTTGCAGGTCTTTATATTTTGTTATTTTCTTTAGTTCTTTGTCTTTAATTCTGCTGCCTCCAGATACTGCAATGCCCACTCTCCAAACTTTTTTTGTTTTTCTTATCAATAATTGTTAAGCTTGGGGTGTTGATAAAACAGACAAAATAGAAAGAACTGAGAAAATAACAAAATACATAGACCTACAAATAGAAGTAGAATGACTATGGTTCGTTGCACAGTCAGCCAGATGTTTAGACTGAATTTGTCATTTTTATCCACGACTGAGTCCTTCCCAAGGACCTGGAGTGGGCAGATGTTGGAGTTTTATGGTGTTAGAGGTATCGTTGCAAGATGTAAGCTGTTCTGAGTAAGCTGCCTTTTTGAAATTGACTGATGGTGAATTTATCAAACCCAATGCTGTTCAAGTAAGTGCTCCAGTTGTTTTGGGATTGTACCCAAGGCACCTATTACTATTGGTATTATTTTTGCTTTCTTTTGCCACACTATCTCCACTATTATTGTAGTTGTTGTTATCTCACAATGCCTATATAAATTGAGTCACTTTCAAGCAATTTGACTTAACAACAACTTGGCTAGAGAAGCAGTATTAAGTTAAATTGTTACATCCTATCTCAAATCATCAAGTCTACTGACTGATAGGAGTTTAACATGAAAGTTGTTTATTGTACTAAATCATGACTTATTTAACTATGGTTTACTAAGTAAAACTTAATCGGTTGTGGTTACATACCTTGTTAAGCCAAAACTAACCAAACCAAAAAATGCTTAGAACAATTTCAAAATATCAAAACATTTTTTCCACATCCAACTAAGTATCTGCTTTCAGTACTATAGTGATTTCTCTTGGTTACTTAATAGTCATCAGTGACAGACCTCATTTGTTAACTTGAAAAGGTGTTTGAACAAGTTTTCTCTGTCTTCATACAAGCAGGTACATGATTTGAACCTGTGTATATTATGCTGGGTGGTATAGCAGTTTTGCTAGACTTGACTACCACTGCCCTGCAGTGTGCTACAGAATCAGCATATTGCAGTTTGTGGGAGCTAAATATAGTTAAATAGCATCTAGGCCTGGACCACAAAAATTCAAAGTATAATAGATCTTATAGCTCACAGAAAATACTGTTGACTTAAAAATTAGCCCATATATAATCTCTCCTTCTAGGTTTTACAGCATGTAATTTAATTGGACTTTGTTATGTCCAATTGACATCTTAGGAATTGAGGTGACTTACAGATATCAAAATATCTGTATTAGTTCAATTTTTGGATTGGTTAAACAATCTCTGGGCATTTTTGGATTGGTTAAACAATCTCTGGGCAAGAGTTTGAATAGAAGATAAAGCTATTTATTATAACTATATTCTAGTTATTAAGTTTTGAAATCAATCTTCTGCAACTTGCCTATTATTGTTGTAAAGTCATTTCAAGGGAAAGCTGTATCCTTTTTTATTTGAAATGTATTTTAATCTGAAACAAATATTACTCTGCTAGTGAAAAAGGAATAGTTTTCATTTATCTGAAGCAAGTTAACTTTTGAAGTTAGAAGTCAAATTATCAGTAGAATTTGGGGAGGAGGTTACTGACAGTTGTACTACCTTCCTATTTTGTTTTGTTTACATCCAAAATTTCTACAAATATACTGAGCAAATACCAAACTACTGGTCTAAGCTTTGCATATCTTTCAATTTGGTATCCAAGACTACTTAGGCTGATTGTACTGATACTGTATATCTAGGGCACAAATGTCATGTGAATAGCCATAAATATATGACAGTTGTTGTCATATATATTTTCTTCTTTTAAACAATTTTGTAAACTAGCTAAAGGTAATAGTTCTCACAGAGCACTTAAATAAAGATTCACAAAAAGGCTTCATCATAATCTAATACATCCGTTACAAAACCAGCTTTTTACATTTATCTGCAAGTGGAGAAACGTAGCCATCCAAGTTTGTACATTATGTTTTGTGATTGCAGCATATTTCATTTCTTTTATAGATGCAGAATCCTTCCCAAATGATTAGATCTGCCTATGAAGCAGCTCCTGTGTTCATAAAGGTAAGAGATATAATCTCAATGGTAACTTAAATTCAAAATCTACACCAATGCTACTTAGATGAAAATGTCCTAATTTTCCTGTCCATCTGTCACTTCTTGAAAACAGGCTATAGAAACTCCCATCCGTAGTAGGCCTACAATATGTGGACTGCAAGCATCCACACAATCACTTGTTAGCAGAAAATATATACGGAAAACTCAACTTTTGCACATTATCTAAAATGATTCTCTAGGTTTTTGCAGCCCAAATATAATAAATCTAATAATCAAGCATGTTTATCTTTGATTTCCCATAAAGAAGTAAAAGGCATGGTTGAGTGCTAAAAATATTTCCATTCAAGTCAGTATTGACTCCTGGCAACTGCCTGGAAAAGTCCTTGCATTTTTCTTGGCAAGGTTTTTCAGAAGTGGTTTGCCATTATGTGTTTCCTAGGGCTGACAGAATGTGTCTGGCCCAAAGACTATCCAGCTGGCTTTGTGTCCAATGTGGGACTAGAACTCACAGCCTCCCAGTTTTTAGCCTCCTACCTTAATCATTGGAGAGGAAAATCCTTTCAGGTATTTGCATAATTCCAAAGCCATTGCTTGCTAGGGATTGTGGGAGTATGAAACAGTGTGGTGAAGTAATTGAAGAACTAGGCTTAGGGTGGGGACACTCAGATTCATGTTTACCCTCAACCATGGGAGCTCACTGAGGAACTTTGGGACTGTCATCCTCGCTCAATCCACTCCACCCTTAGGGGAGTAATGGAGGGCAAAATGCTATGTACACCACCTTCAGCACATTTCCTTTTCTTAGAGGAAATGTGAAGTATAAATCTTACTATAAGTCTAGGATATCCAAGAAATCCAGAGGCAAAGTTTGTGGGAAACTGTTATAATTACTCATTTGGGAACAAGAGAGATGGTATTCAGTGCATCAGTATCAATTTCTCTCTCAAAGGAAAAATTAAGCTTGTGTTAAAAATTAAGTTTGTTCCGTACATAGCACCTTTAACTTTATA